CTGATGAAAACTGAGAATGCAGTAGAAATGCCAACTGTGCTACCGAAGGCACTACTTTCACATCTAAATGCAAGTGCAATAAGCCATCGTTGACAGTACCTTCCTTTCATGAGGCTCACGTATAACGGCTGGTCTCAGCCTGTCCTTTGGCACCTTGCCTGCCTTTGCTTGGGTCTTGGGCTTGTTCTTAAATGGCAGGGACTTCTGCAAGGCTTTTGGAATGTGGAGTGAATTAAAATGTTTCTTTTGCCGCAGGATTGGCTGCAAAGAAAAATAAAACAAAGACTGTGACATATTTAAATTATGATCTATGTGCATTAAAAACATTTGCATAAAATCTTCTCCAGCAGATTAACTCTTTCACAACATCAGTAACACCAGAGTCTGCTGACCATGAGAAGTCAGGATTCAATCACCCATCAAATACAGACTGCCTCAATGTACATCCACAACTCTAGACAAAGCAGAGGAACAAACTGTGCTCACTTCTACAGTATGGAACTATGGGATTTCAACAGAGCAGATGAATAGATCCAAAGTTATCTTTGGGGCACTGAGGTGGTTTTTATCCAGCCTAACAAGAATAATCCAGATTTTCTTGGTTAGAGCATGCTGTTGATAACACCAAGGTCAAGGTTTTGGAACCCCATACCAGCCAGCTGCCAAATAAAAAAAGAATAATCTAGCTTTCCATCTTGACTATCAACCTCTCTAAATTTAAGGACATAGTTCTTCTTCCAATCAGCAGCCAAAGTACCCCCAACCCCAATTCTAATTAAGAAGTTTAACTTTATTTGTTTCTGATGAGAAAAGTGAGATTTAAATGACAGATAACGGCAAACCACTATACATTGAATATTCAAGGTAATCTAGGTTTTATGCCTCAGTTAAGTAAGATAACCAAAATTCTTACCTGCCTCAGAAATATTAACAAGTTGAAAGTTTTGCCCCAGGCCTTTACCAAGGTCATTGTCAACTATATAGAGAATATTTGTTATGTCTTTAAATTTATTATTAAAGACATCCTCCATACTAATATTTAATATTCTCTGCTTATGAACCAAAATTGCTCTACAATTAAATAAATTAGAGAAATCTTTCTTAAAAAAGAGTAAGCACCAAAGCCTGGATAATGGCACCACATCCTGAAATATATTTTAATAAAAATTCATGGAAGATGACTCAAAATTCTATTATTAACTATTTTATAGAAAAAATAAGGCCTGGGAAACTTCTGTTTCTAGCAGAATGACACACGGATATGCTGAACTACCCTCTTATTACAAAACAACTGAACATCCTGGATTCAAACAGCAAATCTTTTCAAATGCATTGTTAAAATGTGAAGAAAATAACAAAAGTTCTCACAGAACCAAATCTAAATGAAAATGGGAATCCAGACAGGCACTGAAAACCTAAAGTAAAAGAACACTAAAGAAGCCAACTACTGGCAAAGATGCGGAACGAGTAGAAAACCCTAAGAAGCTGTTGGTGGGAGTGAAGCTGGTGTGACTTCAGAATA